GTGACATTTATAACTATTTCCTTCAGTAAATTATTGTAGGATATGGTCAAAGTATATCTGGTGCCCCATGCAAACTTATTCTTATAGTCCTAACTTATAAACTCCTCATTTCTCTATTATTAGATAGCACCCATTCCAAAGACTGTAATCAATTGATAGCATACAAGGAAACAATATATAAATGTGTGTGTGTGTGTGTGTGTGTGTGTGTGTGTGTGAAATATACATAATTCTGAGGAAACTGCAGTCTTCTTGTGAACATCCTATTGCTTGGGGGAGGGAGAGATCTGGGTCCATTTTTGGCATCCAAAGCACACAAGGGGATCCTTGCAGCTGAATGGATCCACCTTTGCATAAATGAGCCTCTGTCTACACCAGTCCACCCAGGCAGACCTGACTACAGCAACTGGACATTGTTACTTAATCAGTGCTGTCAACTCAGTATGTTTAAGGGTTCCAAAAATAAATAGATTGGCGTAAAAATGTTTTTTAAAATAATACCTTTTAAACCCTCCCCCCCGCCCCATTTCTGTTATAATTTAATAATTTTAAGAAAAAAAACAAATATTCTGAGACTTGAATCTGAGAATCATTCTTGAAAGAAACAGAGGTAAAATGTTATTGTAGCAAGTTACACAAGGTTAGGTGTCATGTGTCTGTGCATACCCTCTGCTAGCCATTTACTAAAGGAAAACAGTTGATTACCTGCTTTCCCCTCGCCTGGTGGTAAGGCATAATAATAGTTTCCACATAGATCCAAAAACCCATGATAGGTGCACTTGCATGAGTATATAGACTTATTTTGTATTGTATTAAGGCACATGATCATTTGTCCATTCAAAACAAAGTTGTGCGCAGAGAGGGGTTTTTTTATGTCATACTATATGAATGAGAATGATGGAAGCCATTGGCATTTTAGTTGCTATCAGTTTTATTGTTCATGAGGAGGGAGATGTCCTGACTACAAAACATATGGACAGGCTTTTTAATCTTACAGTGCTTAAAGGTTCTTCATTTTAGAAAGTACATTGTCATATGAAGTGATAAAGCATAATTCTTGCATTCACTAGAATATGTTCAGTCATTATTGATGGGGCTCTGAAATGGAGATGCTCAAAGTGGTGTGCTGCTGAGATTGTGATTAATGACAGTTACCAACCTGGACTTTCAAAGTGACATAAAACTGATGGTAATCAGTGTTTAACTGTTGATGTGTGACACAAAAATGGGAAAAATGTTAATACACACTGAGCTTCATTAGTAAATTAAACTTTAAAAAAAATTAGTGAGTATTTTGTTTCTTGTGATGGGTTAATTATAGTACCTTACAGAATTTTCCTTCAGCAAGCCATTTGAATTTTTTTTTCCCTACTGAAATGAGTGGCATTGACAACCTCAGCTATTTTTCTCTCAGAGGTCAGAATGGTAGAGTGGCTCTCACCCCAAAATATAGAAAAGGTACAGGAAGATGCAAATTTATAGAACATGTAGAATTTAGACAACACATTTCTTACTGTTCCAATCCCCATTTCTTCCAATCCTCACGTCAGAATGAAATTCCTTAACCAGGAAGCTTCCCTGGCTTACATTTCTTTCTGCTCAGGTGCCTTGCTTGGTTTCCCTTATGCTCTGAGGCAGGATGACCTACTTTCCATTTTAATCAAGGATTGGAAGGAATTACAAAACACACACACATGGGTTGGAGAGCAACAGAGAAGGACTTTTTTGGCTAACAAGATTTCAAAATAAAATGGGGGCCCAGCATCAGAACAATAAAATGTATATAGTCTGTATCATTTGTTATATGATTGGTTGCATTTCACAAAGCCAAAAAAACAGATTCACTTCACAAAGTCAACCATCATTCAGCTAAAACAATCAAATACAGTACAGAGCAGATATGCTAGTGGAGTCCTTTTGGATCCATTAAAGAAGTGACAGGAGTCCCATTCATCTCATGGGAACTAGAATCTAACCCAAGCAATACAACAAAAAGAAGTGGTAATGGAAGTCCAAGAGCCAGCACAACCACTGCGATTAATAGGAAAAATATATCATTATACAAAATAATTCTTATCTAGGAGCAAATGAATAAAAGGAAAACATACAGTGGATAGCCAGTAAGCTAGCCAAATACCTTTGTCCTTTTGACATAAATATACAAATAGATAAATAAGAAAATAACAATAAAAACAATTATTTTTGAAAGCTTCTTTGCATTCATTGACAGGTCCAGATGCAAGTAAATTTTGCCAGAAAACTCTTTTTAGACTAAATGGAGATTTCCATATCTGAAAAATCAGTCTTTTTGCTACCATGGAAACAAAAAGAATAAATCCCATGCAAGGCCTTAAAATACATATCGATGACAGCAAGGATAAAGAACAAGCTAAGAACAAAACTAAGTATTCAGAACAAAAGATGGGTTATCTACTATTTGCAATATGTGATTTTGGAGCAAGGGCTTCTCATTTCATGTCTCACGTTAGTAAGATTGATGGGCACATCTGAATTTAGAAGCAGAAGGATAAATGTCCCATATGTCTTGCCTTAACTCTTGTGAGAGCTTCATTTGTCTTGAGTTTAAGCAGCTGGGATTTAAGGGAAAGTTCTTCAAAAATATGCCTAGCAGTTAGGTTCCTAAATCCTCTTGAATATCAGTGACAGTTAGGCTCTATTTGTGTCTATGAAAATCTACCCCTCGATAAACATTTTTTTTTCACTATTTTTAGACAGCAAAGTTACATCTGTATGATAGGAGTAACCAGACCTGCTGGAACCTTATCAGAGGTACGTATCATTGAGACATGCTCATCCAGATTCCTATTCAGCTTTACGCCTTCCAGCAATATAAAGGAGCCAAAACATGATCATTACTGCCAGCTAACAATTCTCCTGATGAGGGAGATTTCTCACTTAGCATATAGCTGATGGAACCAATTTCTGTGCTACTCATCTACTGAATCTTGTAAAAGGATATTTAAGAAGCAGCGAGTGGCTAAGGACCATTCTTTGCTCTCCTGATGTTCAAGTACTGCGTAGTTTGGCAAGGTCCACGTGCTCTTCAGCAAGTTAAAATGTCTGCAAGTTTGCTATAACTCCCACTAAGGCTAAGACAATTCCAGACTAGTATTTAGAAGCCATAAATTGATTCCTGAGGGCCAACCTATAACATTTATGCCAAGCTGATACCTGGATGCAGATCAGAATCGGCATAACCTAGCTGTCTGTATTCCATAAACAACAAATAACCAATCTGAATGTTCACTGTAGAGAAAGTTGGTGCAGTAAAAAGTCTGCTTTGGTGTCCTTAGAAAAGTATCAAGGGGCCCTGATCTGTGTGGGATCCCAAACCTTCCCTGCACAGCAGTGGCACTTCCCAGGGCCATCTGGGTGGGCAGCTAGCAGACAGGTGCTGCCCCAGCTTGCAAGCAGCACCCAGCCCAATCCTACTATTCCCTGAGCCCAAGCTGGGGCAGTACCCACCCAATAGCAGCCCACCTGGGCAGTCCCAGGAATGCTGATACCGTGGAAGGAGAGACTGGGGCCCTCCACAGCTCAGGGACCACTCAGCCTACTGGCAGCTTGATCCCCAGCTGCAGGAGACATGAGCTGACTCCATGAAAAAAAACAAACAAACCAGGATTGGGTCCCTCACTGCTTCTGCCTTCAGCCTGCCTCTCCCATGGTTGGAGTGGAGGTGGGGGTTGGAAACAGCAAGCTGTCAAAGGCTGCAACATTACAAATAGCTTCGTTGCAAACTATACTACATGCGGATGTGGTATAGTTTGCAACATAGCAAACTCATTTAAATCACAAAAAACTCCCATACGTGTACTGCGTTAGGCAATTAAATTGCAAAAATGGCCAATTTTTGTCCTGTGTTCAAGCACCTGGGAGTCCAGTCCTGGGGATGGAAAATGCCTAGCTCCTGGCCCCAACCCAGGGGCTGTGTTTCTCCTACCCACCCGCACCCTGACTGAGGTAATTTTAATCCCTAACCCCCACAACCAATGGATGGACAACGCACCCCATGGACCCACTAACCCCTGAAGAGTTGTCAGCTCCTCTGATCCTGCTACTCTGCCCCCTCCCCCCACACCAATGTCTCCCCTGCAGACCCAGTAGCCATCCCTCCTAACCTGATTTATTTAGATCATGGTCCTGGAGTCAATGAGCATGTGCAGTAGTGGGAACTGATCTATGATCACTTGGTTTAAAGTAAGCTGCATGATCATAGAACAGGCCCTAGGAATGTGTGCCTTTGATCCACAAAACATGTGAACATGTTTGGAGCACATCCCCAAAGCTGGGAAAGTCTAGCCACTTGCCCTAGCTCCAGGGTTGTGCTTTGCCTACTCTCCCCAATCCTAACTGGATTATCTTTAGCTTTCCAGCTAACCAACTGCCCCCATGGATCCACTAGCTCTCTCCCAATCCTGCTCATCGCTCATTCCCTAGGGCTGACTTAGATTGTGTTCCCAGCACAGCTCTCCGTACTGGCAAATGCCTGTATTACCAGAGATCTGATCTATGATCGTACTGCTAAAGCAAGCTGAATGATCATAGAATGTGTCCCATGAGCATGTGCATGTGGCCTTAGATCCCATACTGAACTTCTACCCATATGTGTATGGGAGGGAAATAACACCGTATTGAGCCTAGTCTAAACATCTGCCTAGAGCTGCATGCTTTTAAGGCTACATGGAGAAACATTGTTCTCTTTATGTGACTGCTAATGCCTGACCAAAATATAGTCCAATATTCCAGATTTCATATGTTCTCAGATAGTTTTTATTCCAAATTTATATTGTTTTTCTGTAGCTTTTGGATTCAGCTGAACTTAAGGGATTCAATATAACTTCCATATTCTTCTCCTAACAATGCCACTGGGACTTTGAAAGTAACAACATGCTCTTACTTCAGCTATGAGATATGAGAGACTAGTGGTTGAACATTTTTATAAAACAATGCATTCAATAAGTAGGTATTGACATGTGGCAGCAATTACTTTATATTGTATTTATATTTTATGAGGAAGTTGGTTTTAATTTTGTTTCAGTTTCCATCCATTGCTTTATCAGAGCAACCAGAAAAGACTGAGAACTGTAGCTCTCCACTCCTGTGAAGAGAAAATAAATAGGAAAATATGTTATTAATTTTTGTTGTTGTCATATTCTGTTGTTATCCACACCAAACATTTCTTCAAGGAAGAATTTACCAAATAAGATGGAGGTCTAAGACTCCTTAGTCTGGTCTCTTGTTGTGCAAGTCTGTTCATTTCACATGTTCATCTCACCTACCAGTATACAAAAAGAAAACAATATATTACTTTAGGTTTCTTGTGATGGTTTTGTGTAGAAAAGCTTTCACTTAAATAAAAATTGGGCGAATTATTTTTTTCCTACTTCCTTATGTGGACAAGGAGGGAAACACAGCAATGTCCTGGTAACAAGCATTTATCAGAAAACCAAAATACTAGATAAATCAAAATAGGACAAACAACAGGAATCTTAATGCAATAAGGTGTGACATTGCTACTTCATGTAGCACTAGAAGAAGTGTGGCATCCTGCAGTCTCCAATTTGACTCCTAGACTACTCAACACAAAGAAATATTACCATACCTCACAGACATCTCAGGCATTAAACAATCTTGCTTAAACAAAACAAAGTGAATGAAACTAAATTAGATGCAATTTAAAGGTACAAGTTACTCCAAAGTATAAAAGTTAACGGTGTTTATTGGCAGACAGATGAGCACCATCACTAAGATAGGTTGAAAACTTCAGCTTGTGGCATGTAATGAAAAGTAAGAAAAAACAAACCAATAGTTGAAAATGAATAAGAACAGAAGGATGTGGTTCAAGTTTTTCCACTATCTTTATTGTAATAATGATTTGTTTTTTCAAACCTATTCTTGATTGCCAGCCTCTGATTAAAAAAAAGAAAAGGATAAGGGAATAATCAAATTACCATTTAACACTTAATGTCTTTATGAAAATAAATACTTTAAATGTGTGGATTTTAATGCTCATTTGTAAAATTGGCACTATAATGCAAATCAATTACCAGTAGTTCATGCACACACAATCCAGATTTAAAATGTAGTATGCTTCAGAACTACATCATTAACAATCTTTTTTGGAAAAGGTATCTGATTAGGGGTTGTGAACTTTCCAAATGAGCTATTAAAGTGATTTACCTTATTAGTCTTTAGTGGACATATTTATAGAGCCCAAATTCTGCTCAAATTTACACTAGTGAAAGTGCATTGGTTTTACTAGGAACAGAATTTGATTCAGTATATGTTTATGATGGTTTAATGCAGTTTGCTTTTCTACTCTAAGGCTTAGTACAGAAACTCAAAAAGCCCAAGGCAGAATTGATCTAAGTTACGTGGTTTCCTGTAAGCAGCATAGTTTAGATCAGTAGTGAACAGAATACACATTTGCCCTTTGGCAGGGGGAAGGGGAAGAGGGGAGGAAATCTTGGTCTCCATGTGCCAAACTTCTGTTCTGTTGTGGGTATAGACTGGTTTCTAATCACTTATGCTGGTAAAAATGTAATGATTGTACCTGGCCTAAGTACAAATAAGTGTATTAAAATGTCTAGACCAATGATTCTCAACCAGAGTGTGCAAACATGACTCTCAAGATAAAACCAGATTTTTCAAATAAAAATCCATAGTGTTAAAAAAAAAAAAATCAGACCTGTTGTGATCTTCCTTTGCAACAGAAGAATTGTTGCATTATTTTTCTGTGGTGAAAAATCAAGCGGAACTAAGAACTGGCAGGGGATGCTTCAAGTTAAAGAGGGATGCCTTGAGTCTCAAAAGGTTGAGGACCATTGGTCTAGATAAATGAATGTTTATTTTAGAGTTATCAGAGTACTTTACATAAAGTTTAGCTATATGCCAATACAGCAAGAATATGCAATTTCTCAACTATATATTTATAAATAAATATCAGCAATTAATGGTGGAAAAAATGGCAATTTCTTTTGACTTTAAGAGAGAAAAGCACATTGTACATTCTATGGAAGTTCAGTATTAATACCATATGATATTCATGGCTGAGAAAGCACTTTGACTTAATCTTTTGTTTTCCATTGTTGAAAAATTGGAGAAAATATCCTTTGAGGTGGGGTGGGGGCAGGATATTTCAGAACTGTTCTCAAACCACAAATACACTTGAAAATAAAAGTGTGTATATTTCCATCTGGCTAGTTTGGAGCTTTAAAATTTGTTAATTTTAAAAGATTAGAAACTATCTGAAATGTGAATTTTTAAAAATAGCATCATGGAGTTTCCTGATTTGGAGCTTTCAGTGCATTTCACAAATACTTTCTTCTTTGAAGCAAAAACATATTGACTCCCTCTCCTTACCCTCTCTGCTTTTCTCTCTCTCTGTAACTTTCCTTCCCAGGATAGCCCACTCACTTGCTTATGCAACCAGAATTAGCCATTGTTTTGAGTACTAAATGTGCAGTCTTAATGTTCTCGATGTGTAATTCAATGCAGTTTAATATTCAAATACAGATCTTTCAACTCTGAACCTCCCTTGAAAAATGGGAACATCATGGCCTGCCTGATGATGACTGGTGGCATAATACTCCTGGCTGTATGTGATGTGGTATATATGCTTGAAGAATGTACTATTACCTGATACCTAAACTACTAGGCAAATCTAAGAAAGAGCTGTTTACAATCTTCAGATTTTAATTGTTTTTTTTTACTATTTATATATGTTATACTATGTTATATATTTATCAGAAATGATTAGAAAGTTTGTTAAATTTTAGACACAATCTTTACTTTACCTCTTGTATAGCAAGACCAAATGAGCCTTGTGAGTTCAATTATACAGAGCTCAGAAGGAGAGAAAAATATTACCAACAAATAGTAGAAGGCTCTACATTTCACCTAAGATTTCTATCCAATGTCAAAATTTTATGGTCCAGTATCTTCCAACCTGCCAGATCTAGGAATGATTGCTGCCTCCTGTTGGAAAAGAAGACTCTCAGCTTTCTAATGTGATAAAGCATCCATTTTAAACCTGACAGCTCATGAGATATTGAAATCTAAACCTGTCACTAGTCTAGGACTCAATATTAACTATCTTACATACCAGACTAGTGTGAAATTCTATATGCATGTGGGCAGTGGGGGTGATATGGAAAAAAAAAAGACATTGAGGGAAAAAGAAAAAAAAACACATCCTTTGGCTGTTAGGTTGTGAAATTTTATTTGAAAAGGTCATTTTTATAGAAATGTACAAAGATACATTTAAAATGGAAGTGCCTCTGTACCCTTAATGTCAGTCTTGACTACTGTGAAGCCTATCATATAACAGGACTATAATAGAGCAGGAACCTGTAAAATTTCTTGTAACTTTTGGTACCTGGCCTTGATCTTTATATTTTTGCCAGTTTGATGCCAGTTTGGAACTATCAAATAAAATAGAGAAGAGGAGGTTTAAAAATAGTGAGATCAGCTGAAAAGCAGTTTGTGTATTTAATAGGTTTATGCAAATCTGAAGTGCATCATTTAGAAGCTTAATATATTTTTTAATTGTCACATTTAAATTATGAGTGTATTAAATGTGTTCAAAGTAGCTCTTGTAATTTATGGATTGCATGCTTTAAAGGCTTTTGAGGAAAAAAAGTAACACTCATTCAAGTTAAAAGATTAACTATGTTTGTACTGGTTTGGTAGCAACCAAAACTTACCTATTGGTGCTTGTTAAATGACTTACATGGAATAATTTGGGCTGTAGACAAGTATCTACATCATAAACATACTCAAAAATAATAATCAAGTATCATAATAAATAATAATCAACTTTTGTACTGATAATTGGAATTGACAAAACAAGTACTAATGGGAATGAAGTATAAAGTATGCCTATGGACATGGCCTTTCCAAGGCAAATTTGAAGTATATAGTCAGTAACACAGAAGACACTTTCTCTCGTAGGATACAACTATTCTATGAAAAGAAGTATAGTTCTGTGGATAAGACACTGGACTAGAACATGGGAGATTAGGGTTCAGTTCAAACTAATTCAGCACATGGGTGATCTGTGTTTAGACTTCCTTGGGCAAATCACCTTATCCATCTGTCCTCATTTGTAAAGTGGTGGTAGTAGTTTCTTATTGTCTAATCTAGTCAAAGTGTAAGATCCTTGAAATAGAGATTCTTCCAACAATGTCTTTAACAGTGCCTTGCACAGTAAGGATCTGATCTCATATGACACTACTGCAATATAGATGCTGATGATGAAGTATAGAGGCTATCATACCTTGCATTGCCACTAAGCACCAAATCCATAATCTTCAACAAGTATTAAATTGACATTACATTTAAAGATAGATTAAATTTTAATGATACTGGTTTTGCTTATATGTTCTCCACTAACTCTTAACAATAAGTGCTAGTGCCTTACACAGTATCTTAGAAATTAATAAAGGCTATATTTATTCACCAACCAGTCTTTTCCTCATCCATCACATTTAACAACAGTCACAGAAGTCCCTGACCTCTTCTTTAGCTACTGTTTAGAAATGCATGTTTCCAAGTAGACCACATAGTCAATATATAAAAAGGAGAAAAATATCAGTTGACTGGCCTTCAACTGATAGGGCATAAGAAACATATTTCCAATACTGGAGCTATTTTTTATGAATCTTAACTAGTAGAGTCACACTTAAGTTTAGAACACTCTTTGAACACTCTTATTGATTTGCCTAAATATTTTCTGATGATATACTGTAAAAGCTCTGTTATGCAGCATCCCCCAGGAATGGGGGATGCCGGATAACAAAATATGCCAATTAATTGAATGGCCCGGGACATGGGGTTTATAGGTAGGTATGGGTGGATCATGGGGGAGGGGGCTGATCTTCAGGGGTGGGTCCCCTGCCCCCTGCAGGGTGTAGCCCCCCTGCACAGCTCAATGACTGCCCCCACTACAGGGCCACATTCCCCCAGCAGGAGCTACAGCCCACTCAGCGGATGTAGCAGCACCTGTTGGAGTCACTGGGGCCTTCTGGCAGAGCCCCTACCCACGCACAGAACATGGGGCAGCAGGAGGCAGCAGTGATTGGCCCCGGCCACCTGGCACCCACACTATCACTGCCTCATCACGCGGGTTCAACCTGGGTCAAAAGGGTACTGCATGGCTTTGTGCACTGTCAGGGAGCTGGGGCCGCTCAGGCTGAGCAGTGCCAGGCCCTGGGTGACAGGCAGGCTGGCTGCCAGAGCATCTCTGTGGAGGACCCAAGCTTCTGGTTGACTCAGGGCATGGCCCTGTACCATGCTCTGCTCCGCTTTTTTTGCCCGGGGTATTTTTTTGACTGCTAGATATCCAGGGATATCCAATTTTGCAGTGTGGGGAACATTTTTGTTCCTGCACGTGGAAAGGAATCAAAGCACTTTGAGATGCTGCAAGAGGCATGTGAATGCTCAGCTGGATGCACCCATTAACTTTGAGCTGAGTTGGAACAAAAGAAAGAAAATGGATGTAATCATGAGTAGGAACCTCCACAGCTAAAAACATGATGCGCTTCAGTTTGAACTAAAGAACCACTGACAGAAACACAACCATTTCGTTTATCATTGGTGAAAAGAAAGACAGAAATTGTAACTCCCACAGACTAGTGGGTTTCAGTTGTATATATTTTCTAGGCCTTGAAAAGGGGAATTGTCTGAGGGTCAAGTACAAAGGTATTTTATGCTTTCATATATATATCTATATATGCTATTATTGACCTAAGTGGTTCCATCTGTAGTCATAATGTATGTGCTAGAGGAGTCAGGTAAAATTGAATAACTTGACCATGTTTACCAACAATTCTGAGAGTATAGATCAGCTATCAAATTAAGACAATTTCAGTTTGATCATTACAGACCTGCAAGAAGCTGCGTGCACACAGCTGAGATATAACAGAGCAGGCCAAAAACCCCAAGCTACCCAAATGTTCAGTCACTAACACCACAGAAGAACAATCAAGTTGTTTTGATATTGGTTTCCTGTTACACTACATTGGTAAGTTGTAATGTGCATTTCAAGTATAACATAAAATGTATTCATTAAAATATGTATTTATATTATATTTCATGTATTCACATTACAAGTATACAAAAATAAGAACTTTTAAGATTCACAAAGGTTCATATTTAATTGCTTGTAGGTAATAATTATTATTATGTAAAACAGTGTAATAAAGACAAAAAAATGTTCCCAGTCATTGAATACTTGGATTAAGAGAATCTTAATCTTGTATTTAAGTTTGCAGCACTAGTTAGATATTACATATATAACAGGAAATACCCTTTTTCTGACAGAATAAAAGTAAGACGTGGTATAAATCTACCAGTACACTATGTCTTTACAATTTTTTTTGGTAAAGAATATATTTTCTCTGAATTGGAAGGTGTATTCTACTTAAATTAATTGTGTGAGCTGATATATTCTAGTGAAAAACATTTTTGCTCTGAGTTGTTATGTATTCAGAAAATCATCCTACTCCTCACCTCTATGCTTATTTTTGTTTTCTTAATTCTCAGTACTTATTTTTTTCTCTTTCCAGCCATTTAACCTTTAACTAGCTTTGAGATATGCTACTTAATTATGTTCATGGTTGTGAAGGACCAGAGGCTTTTCTCTAGTTTGGCAAGACTGACCTTTTGTTGATTTGCCCCCTTCTCACTCTTTCTTTCTTCCTGTAAAATTGGTAAACTCATGCAAGCTGTCATGTTAAAGTGAGGGAGGAAAGAATAAAAACATTTAAACATTCAGCCTAGTAAAATGGTTCCTTCCTGCTTTCACAGCCTCAGTCAGCTGTACTCATCCTTAATTGCTTCATACAGGTTGACTTTGAGCAATGGTGGCATGATAAAAAAAAAACCAAAACAACAACCCACAGAGCAAAATACAGGTGATATTTAATGTTTACTAACCATTAAATGCATAATAACTTGGGGGGGGGGGGGGGTAAGACAGTTTTAACAAGCTGATGCTTCTCAGTATTATCCAGTCTTCTTAGTCTTAAGTTGAAAATGACAAATGTTACTTGCAATAAATATAAATGCATTTTTAAAACAGAAAAGAAAATACAAAATGGAAAAAGAAGGTAAAAGCATACTAGCTATCTGAGACTGTCACCCATTTCATAAATCCTTTAATTAGCACTTCCTGGCTTTGTATATTCAGATCATGCTCAAAAACTACAATTATTTATTTGTTATTTATTTTATTCAATGTATATACTGCTTTCCTAAACACAGGCTCAGAGAGTCTTACAACAAGAGGACAGAATCATTTTTAAAACAGGAGGATGAAGAGAACAAAACAGCTTAAAAAGGAAACTAGAACATCAACATAAAACAGATCCCCTTTAAGCAATATCCCAGACTAGCTTTGTTTGCTAAATGCCTCCCCAAACAGGAAGGTGTAATAACCCCTTCAAAAGACATCTAGGCTCAAGCTCTAATAGACTTCAAGTTGTGGGACCTCAATAGCCTAGGAGTTACTGCTGAAAATGGCCTACCATGTGTTTTTGCTAGGCACAATTGGAGCATGCTGGTACTTGTAGGAGGTTGCTCTTGGCTGACCTTAGGGATCAGAATGCTGCATAAGGGAGAAGGCAGCATCTCAGGACCCTTCTACACATCCGCAGGTGTGTGCCATGCATTAATGCAGCTGGGAGTTTTGTCAGCTGTATGACTCATAGCCATGGCAATGCATGGGTCTCTGTGGCCTATCAGGTGCTGGAGCTTGCTACTTGCTAGTGGAGGGGGAGCTCAGAATCACCATCCTGGGCTCCCCCTGCACCAGCAATGGGGTGTGATGAGATCTGATGCTGGATCTCATAATCATTTCTCCTGCCATGCATGTGTGGTATGGCAGGAAGTGAGATTCTGTTGAGTGCTCATCAGATCCTGTCATGCTTTAACATCAAGGTGAACATTGAGGGTCCCTTAGATATGTAGGGCCTAGACCACTTCCTGCCTTATAAAACCAGCACCTTGAACTGTGCCTGAAAAGCTACTGAAAGCCAGTGCACAGGCATTTATACACATACCTTTTCATCCCATGATGTGGCGGAGATCTGGTGGGTCAGAGCAGACTTGATTAATTGAGTCTGCTCCTCATGCAAGCTGATGCACACTGCTCTGCTTTGCATGCAGTTGTATAAGCGGTGAAATGTGTGTCAGCATGCAGAAAATGGTGGCAGTGCACTTTTGAACTAAAACACCTTGGAGGTGTTTTAGTTCAAAACCACGCCACTGCCATTTTCTCAGTGCTGACATGCATTTCACTGCTTTTACAACTGCATGCACCACAGTGTTTTTTAAAAGCGCCTGATGCTGAAGCACAAACATGTTTACAAATGTCCTGAAGGACTGGAATTGTGCGTTCCTGGTAGGATGACTTTATGGGACAATGTGAAATCCAGGCGGTGGCGGCGGCTGCTGCTTGCCCTTCCCTCCCTACCTCCACTGCTGCAGGATGCAGTGACTCACCCTACTAATGACCCATTGTTCTTTACTTCACAGGTGTTAACAATCACCTGTGAAGTAACAATTAGTGTTAATAGGGCTTCCTATTCCACAACTCCTGCCACTCTGCCTCCAATGCCCTGTGCCCCATTCCCCATGCCTGACACCTGGGACACTCATTTTGATATTCACTGGCTGGCTGGGACCAGCCTTGGAAATATGGGACTGTTCCAATCAATAGAGGATATAAGGTCACCCTAGTTCTTGGTGACCCACTCTTGTCAGAAGGTGGGCTGCTGCATTCTGCACTAGCTGCGGCTTCCAGGTAACTAAGGAAATTTCCATGTAGACCACATTGCAGTGAGGTTTGATGATTTTTCACCAGATAGAGCTAGTGAAAGGCACTTTTAGCCACACTTGCCACTTGGAGATCCAAACACAGCAGAGGATTTGAAAGTTGCAAACCTGAGTGACAAGGGTGTCCCAATTATCCCTAAGTCATGGGGTCTGCCCATCATCATCACCTCTTGTTTGGATTTCATTTCAATTGGTTCACATACATGCAATTCTCAGCTGTATTATGGATGCTATAAAACAAGATTAAATAATTCCACTACACAGGGAATTCTGCAACCATTGCCTACATAAAGGAAGAGAGGTTGCTGCATTTTGGAGTCATCTCTTTTACATATCAGTTTTGTTTGACTGACATATATGTATGTATGTAGGTAGGTAGGTATGTATATAGGTTGCTACTTCAAAGATTTTCAGTATTGTTTAGGAGAGTCTTATTTGTTAATTGTTATTAAGATCATTTGAATTTCTCTCTGGTTTGGAATGCCACCTGCAGAGTTTGGTATGGTACCTTTGACATATTTACTATAAGATGTTTGTTTCTATTTCTCTTATATGCTATGTGTTTATGTTTGCTAATTGGCCTACAATGCTGTAGGTGTAGCCAGAGGCACCTGAGGTGCATCAGCAACATCTCAAAACCAAGGAGGTATACACTCAAACTTTTTTTTTCTTAGTCTGGAAGGGATCATTAGAATAGTAGCTGAACTACTATCCATAAAGGTGTTATTCAGAACATGCACAGAGAGGAAGGGGGTCAAATAAACCTTTTCACAAAGCTGAAACTTTATACAACTTCAGAAGAGAGCCTTTGATGAAGAAGGCATCTCTTTCATAGATTTCATAGACATTACGGCTGGAAGGGACTTCGGAAGATCATCGGGTCCAGCCCCCTGCCCAGCCCCTGGGTCATAAGATCCCATACAGATAAACATCCAAATTTATCTTGAAGGTGTTCAAAGTAGGTGCTTGAACCACCTCCGATGGCAGGCTATTCCAGACCTTGGGAGCTCAGACAGTAAAGAAATTCTTCCTTATGTCCAGCCTGAAACGGTCTTGCAAGAGTTCATAACCATTAGACCTTGTCATCCCTTGGGGCGCTCTGGTGAACAAATGTTCCCCCAGATCCTGGTGGACACCCCTTATAAATTTATAGGTGGCCGTCAGATTGCCCCTGAGCCTGCACTTTTCCAGGCTGAAGAGTCCCACAGCTATCAGCCGGTCATCATAAGGTCTGTTTGCCTGACCTCTGATTATGCACGTGGCTCTTCTCTGGACTCTCTCAAGCTTCTCCCCATCCTTTTTGAATTGTGGAGCCCAAAACTGGACGCAGTACTCCAGCTGCGGCCTCACCAAGGCTGAGTACAAGGGGAGAATGATGTCCTGGGATTTGGTTGAGAAGCATCTATGGATGCAAGCCAGCATTTTGCTCACTTTACTAGCAGCAGCATCACATTGAAGGCTCATGTTCATCTTGCGGTCAGTCGTGACCCCCAAGTCCCTTTCATCCATAGTGCTAGCCAGTGTAGCACTGCCAAGCTTATAAGGATGCTGCAGGTTTTTCTTCCCAAGGTGGAGAACCTTGCATTTTTTGGTGTTAACATCAGGTTCTCTTCCGCCCATTTCCTGAGCCTGTCAAGGTCAGCCTGTCCTCAGGTGTGGATGCTTTATCCAAAAGTTTGGTATCATTGGTGAACTTGGCCAGTATGCTTCTGTCTCCAATGTCCACATCATTAATGAAGATGTTGAATAATATGGGTCCAAGGACAGAGCCTTGAGGGACCCCACTGGTCACATGGCACCATAACAATTGACTTCCGTCAACCACCACCCTCTGGGTTTGACCACAGAGCCAGTTTCCCAGCCAGCAGATCGTGATGGACCCAAGGCCACAGTTGGCCAGTTTTACCAAGAGGTGATCATAGGATACCAGATCGAAGGCGTTTTTAAAGTCAAGATAAATGACATCAATCTCCTCTCCCTTGTCCAGGTGATAGGCCACCTGGTCATAAAAGGAAATAAGATTGGTCAAGCAAGATCTACCCACAACAAACCCATGCTGGCTATCCCTCAGGATGTTGCCATTGGCCAGTCCATTAAAAATGGCCTCTTTGATAATCTTTTCTAAGACCTTCCCTGGGATAGCGGTCAGGCGGATGGGCCTGTAATTTTCCAGATCCATTTTCCTCCTTTTCTTGATGATGGGAACCACGTTGGCCTTCTTCGAAGCTTCAGGCACTTCACCAGAGCACCAGGAGTTCTTGAAGATCTGTGCCAGGGGCTGAGTTATGATGCTAGCCAGCTCCTTGAGTACTCTGGGGTGTAGATTGTCAGGGCCGGCTAACTTGAAGATATCCAGCCTTTCAAGGTGTTCCTTCATGAGGTCAGCATTGATGGAGGGCAAGAAATCTCCCTCACTCGGGCCTCACTGTCCCATGATGGGCAGAAGCGTCCCATGGGACTGATGAAAGACCAATGCAAAGTACCCATTTAGTAGGTTGGCTTTTTCCTGGTAGTCGGTCATCAGTTGTTCCATCTGGTTTAGCAGGGGTCCAATGTTGCCCTTGCTTTTCCTCTGGCTCCCCACATATCTAAAATAGGACTTTTTATTATCCTTGATACTAGGAGCCAGTTAGAGTTCTGTCGCAGGCTTGGCTTCCCTGGTTCACTTCCTGCAGGTCAGGGCCAGTGCAGATTATTCCTCCTTAGAGGTGGATGCTGTCCTCCATCCATTGTAGGTCTTTCTTTTCAGATGCAGGAGGTCCACTAGTTCCTTGCTGAACCAAGGGGGCTGCTGTGCCCTTTTGCTGCCTTTCGTCCAAGATGGAATAGCCTTAGCTTGTGCATCTAGGATCGCTCCCTTGAGGAGCAGCCACTTATCCTGAACTCCCCTC